AAAGTAGAAACTAGAATGATTGTGATGAACATGTATGCATGTATGTATGAACTGAGTTTACTATATGCATACACAATGTTTTAGGTGACTGAACAAAACCTATAAAACACAAAGAAAATAACCAATAATGGGTTATTCAACACAGTCCAATGTGTTAATGTGATCAGTGGCTTGCAATATATGTGCTAAAAGTGCTTTGAGTTGGATACATTCTTTACATTCTCCTAATTTAGCTATATTTTTAAACTACACTACTTTGGCTGAAAGTTTGCCAAGTAATCATCAAGTTGTCAAAGACCCCACCATATCTATAAACAATAATGTTGTTGTTCGAACAGTAATGGAAGACTCCAAGCACCATAATCAGTACAGCTCTGTTATCATTCTACAGTAAGATTCCAAACCACTTTAGTACAACTTGCCTGGGTCATCTAAGCTTCACACTGTATTTGGATTTCTCAAGCAGAACTAACTAAATGTCTCTGCAGAGTAACAAATGGCTGATACAGGGCCATGATCATTGGCTGAGAGAACCGACATTCCCTACATGATCTTGCTTTGCTCCAACAAGCAATACAGCTTTTACTTCTGAGGAATACCAGATGATGCAGAGAAGATGCTGGCTCCTGGCAGAACCCAGCTAAACGGTTAATCCATGCTAAACCAGTTTGACATCTTGCTGGGGTATGGAGTAACATAACAAGTATAGTGGGCAGTAGTGGTTATGGAGTTGTGAGTGTCTCTTTTACACATAAATCCCTAGGCTACTATAAATGCTTACTGTTAAAACGTCACTCAGGTAAGTATAACATAAGCCAATATGTTTATGTCTATGCATTTTTTAGACAAATAAAACACTTAAATCAGAAGTATGGCTCCATAAAATGTTTAATATCAAAGAATGAAGAAATTAGACTTCCCTATACCTAGATTACAGGTAAACATTTTTACATTAAAGTTTCAAAACAAGAACACATGGAAAGTAATTTTTAAAAAAGTAACTGTTGCTGAACACATTTTGGTAGCAGACATTTAAGTATCCTGTGGTAGAAAATCTTTACAAGAAAAGTGATATGATTGAACAGACCCTTCAAAAGATTTAGATGGCTCATAACAATGAACAAAGATGGATTTAGCACCATAAGTCTGTGTTACAATTGTATGGACAAGTCTCTTCCATCCTCAAATAGGAGCACTATTAATCAGGGAAAACACACTAGCCCGGTATAGAACTGCAGCTTTCTGAATTGATACTTATGGGATGCATGTCCCTGCAGGTTTATTCTATCAAAGTGGAGAGAAGTCTGTACTTTTATAAATCCTCTTAGTAATACTTTTTCTGCCTAATTCGTTAGACGCTAATTCGTTAGACGCTAGTTCAATCTTTACTTGCCCAACAAAATGAAGGCTCCACAAAACAATCCTGCCGTCTTAGGATAAGACTACTGCTTGGTTCTTTGACTTCCATCACTATGTTTGCTACTTCATCTAAGACCTAAGAAATGTACTGTGCCACAGTCAATCAAACGTACCCTTAGAGCCTTAGAAAATACCTTAATTTCCCTTTAATACTACCCCAAAGAAGCTTCAATTTCTTGTCTATAAGTCTTAGCTATACATACTCTGCTAAACAAGGGGACTTCAAACATTTAACTGCTCTAACATTCCTATAAGATAAAGTCCTTTCAGGGGCTCACAGGGGAATCTTATTTGGACATAACAATTGACTGATGTTTATAGATGACATGTCTACCTTCACAATTCAGTAAAATAATATCTCAGGGAGAAGAACTCAGCATTAAATTACTGTGTTTGAGAGGTGAAGCCACCATGGTCATTGCTTTATGTCCTCATGTAATACGAACTAAACTACTTTTAGGCAGCAACTTCAATGTATTTAAGTGGACTTCAATACATCATCAAGTGGATGGACCTGAGACCATTTTGACCTATTCAACCATTGTAAAGCCTAACTTGACTTTTCCATTGGTGCCTAAGCCCTGTTGACTGGCTCATGTTTTTTTTTTTACCAATATTTTAGAATTGCTAGAGATGCACCACTGACTGAGGTGCCTCTCTAGCAAAACATTTAATGTGTTTTTATTTAAATCTTCCTGGAGGAAAAGGTTCACTCCTAGAGATGAACCTCTAGTGATGTTCCATTTATAAGCCCAACTAAGCTCTTGTAAATTTGGACTCAAGAAATGCTTACCTCACTTTAATAGCCGCTATTTAGCATATCCCACAAGGCCCACTCCTCATCTCCTTTAGTACAGCTCCAAATTGAATGCTGAGGTCACCAAAGATTTAAACAATTCACAGAAGTAACATCCATGAACTGTCTTCATGAATAATCAACAACAGCAGACAGTAGCGAGGTCTGGTGTGATCTGACCCCCTTGTTTGGGCACTTATTTGTACGATAAATAGTTTGGATTGCAAAGAACTGCTGTTACCGTATATTTATAAAGACAGTTGCTGGATATTACTTCTGTGAACCTTTTGCATCAAGTAATGACCTCGAATTGTTCCTTGCCATAGAGAAAAGCTCCTCTGAAGTTCTTAGTGATAACAAACAAAACTTCCCTCACTGAAAGAAGTACCGCAAACATTAGAAACTCCCAATATTTATATAAATATATGAACTGGGACTTTATGCCCAGTTAAGACACATTATTGAATATCTATAAACAATGGAAATACTTGGCAAATTTCCATATTTAATCATGCAAACCTTCTACTGAGCTTTACTGCTCTCCTTTCCGTTTTGGTTAATATTTGAGTAGTTATCCTATCATATTTCACTGAGGTTTTTTTTATGGGACATATATGCATTGAAATAAATAATAAAGATCACAGTTACAAAAACCATTACAAGTTCTGTAATTGACAACCTCCCTCTCTTATATCAGATTGTCTACCTTTCCTGGTTCTAAGCCATCCCACTTCTTTCAATACATTCTTCTTTCTTCAATTCAATGGCGTAGTTCATGAGACCACACTAAAATATATGTCTCTACATAATACATTTTTATCCAAAAAACTGCATTGCTTCTTGTATAAGATTATGAGATGGGCCAATGGCCTTTTACACATCAAAAACGAAAATTATCTTTATCTTTATCATTTTAAAGAGCCTTTATTCTAAGTATTACTGTGTAATTATTTTATACTTAAAGGTAAACTGGTATACCCAGAATACATTTTCAAGAGAAAGGGAAAATGATCCAAGTTATAGTATAGGGCTAGGCCACGGGCAAATGAAAGTGAAAAAGGATGAAATCCCAATGCTATAAAATTAATCAAAAGTGAGTAGATTTCATAATCCGTCTACACCATTTTATTACCATATTTAGCCATGCATCACACTATAATGTATTATAAAAACACACAGATTATTTCCAATCATTCCAATTCCAATCACTGAAATTGCAAAAAACATGCTTCATGTAATTTTACTGTATATCTTATACTATTCCTGCAAATTGTATCAATAATTAATTGACTTATTGAATTGTAAGAATTATTTTTGTTGTGACATATATAAAGAGATACATATATATAAAATAGAGCATATATTCCTCATTAACAAAATATTAAGTAGAATATCTTGAAATCATTACATGTATGTTAAAATATGAACTTTGTTTATTTTCTTTTTTTAAATATCTCTATAAGTTAGATAGTGTTACTGGATGCAAAGTAATCAATAAATCACAGTAAATTAAGTGCAACAAAATTGCAGTGATGTGTGAGTGGGCATATACACAGTCTCATATATGGTATCCTACACATACAGCATATCTATTCTAACATCACATTTCAATATTATAATATAAGTGAACACAGAGTGAAGCTAAATGAATATAGGGCTCTAATTAGTTATGTACAGTCACCTACAGAGTAAGAACACATCTCTCCAACAGTACTCTAAAACCTTTTTCTGGAGATGCTGCAATTTTGAAATTCCCAACCCACCTTCTTCTGACCAGGGACCACCTGCCCAGAGCATGCTCCGAGGCTGGAGAGGGCACTTCACATATACATTTTATTTGCACGATAAAGATCATGTCAGTATTTCAAACACCACCGATGGGGAGGAGGGAAAGGGACAACGGAAATAAAACAAAGCCGCTTCCTGAGCCCTTTCCCTTTCTAGGAGACATTCAAATCTAAGCAACATATAGCTAGACAGAAATCATGATCTCAGCATTACCATTCCAGGTGTACACTGCACATCCAGTGCAATATATGGGATTTGTGATCTATATGTTACATTACACACACAAACACACATATATACACATATATAGTATATGTATATATTCAATAAATATGATATATATATATATATATATATATATATATATATATATATATATATATATATGTCTGTCTGCCTGTCTATCTATTTATCTATATATCTATTCCTATATAAATTGGTACATCTTTGCAAATAAAATTGTATTACCAATCCTAATCCCTGTAATGCCTATTAAATGAGCATCTAGTGCCACATGTCAAAAGGAGAACCAGTGATTCACTAAATAAAACAATAAACTCAGTTTGAAAAGCAGCATTTAAATGTCTTGTTTTTTTTTTTTTTTTTTTTTAATCAATACATTGAAAGACATATAACACTGCTTCGGAGATTATTAGCATGTTTTGGCTTTCCCCTGATCTCCTGATCATTGGTATTCAGTAATCCCCAGGAAAATGTCAGTGGAAGCCAAATTTTAAGCATCAACTAAGTATCTGTTGCATTTTGTTGCAAATGAATATGCCCATTTTTGGGGCATAAAAAGAGAAAATCATTAACAGTTTTCATATATATGATCCATTATCTTACTGTGTATGTTTATATACATATATAATAGCATGCAGGTATAAAATGTATAAATAAACTGATTATTACATATAATGTATGGTTGCACATTACATCATCTTCTAGTTAAGAAAGCATAGCCAATAGCTACCATGATATTGAAATGAGCATCTTACCTTTGTTAAAACGTGTGCTTTGATGAGGATGTATGTATGTATGTATATATATATATATATGTGTGTGTTCATCGGAGGTTGCCTGTAAAATCTCTGTATGAAGTAGCTTGTCTTTTCCCCTGCCCTGGAAGAATCTGTGAAATGGCGTTTATTTTAAGAGGGGATATTTTGCAGAAAAGAAAAAAGACTTCAGCATCCTGTTATTATGTCACTGGGAGAAACCACTGTGAAAAGAAGTACAAGAGAAAAAAAGGGGAGAGATAGAGAGAGGGAGAGAGAGAGAGGAAAGGCAAAGAGCATGTACACAGCAGTGGGATTGAGAGGGGGAGGGGGAGAAATGCAGAATGAAACAGTGGGACAAAAGAGTATACAGTATATGAGGGTTAAAATGTATTGAACCAACACGTAGCAATAAGGAGAGAAAGGGTTGTTATGAATATGAGAATGCCAAATCATTGATTGGAAGAATAACCACAGAATTTTTGGAAGTAAGAGACAAGGTGAGGATAAGAAATTATAGCTTAAGTGCCTTTTAGAAGACAAATGAGATAAGCAGTGTAAAAGCTGAGCATAATTTGTACACATTTGCATGAATAACAGCTTTAATAAGAGGGAGGAAAGTGTACAGTGTTGCTCATTGTAGTCAGGTAAGGAAAATGAAAGCTTTAGAGAAGCTGAGGGCTGTCGAAGAGCCTTTGAAGGTAAAAGAACATATACAAATCAAATACTGATATGAGTACAATATGAAATAGACACTAAAGTATAGGAAATTTAAACTTTGGGAAAAATTAAGCAGTGCCATATATTAGGATACAGGAGCGTCTGCAAATAAGCAGAGGCAGAGGATGTGGTGTCCTTTAAATTCTAGATTTTTTGCAGAAGAGCATAGTGATTTGTCAGGATATATGGAAAGCAGGGTTTTCCAGCATGGTTAAGTGGTTGTAATTACAAGACTTTGGTAAATTCTGCTACAATATAAGGATATGTCTCAGCCAGGCCATTTTTTCCCTTTAGCTCATGTTTCCATAGCAACTGCAGATGCTCATCTCCGAGAGTCTTCTGCTAAATTCTTTTCTAAGGATAAAGTGATTCCCATCCATATGTTTCCAAACCTGTTTTAGAATCACGGAAGCCGGGGTCCTGCTGAAAGCTTTACTGTACATAAGAGGTGGTCAATTTATTACAGAGTAATATGACCCTCAGTCAGTAAATTGAGAAAAAGCCTCACTTGCTCAAGACTTTAGCTTTAATGAACACAGATACACATACACATATACACATTACATGAACATATACAGTGTCTGTCTATCCATTTATATGCTCTGTCGTTCTCTCTCTCACACCAACAATTCTGCAGCACTGTATTATCAATCCATGCATCTTTTTTTTTATTGCATTTATGCAACATAGTCCTTTTGTTAGTAGTCTATATTATTCCAGTCATATACTCCTCTATTTTGTATAAAGACTTTTATCAAAATGTTACCTATGCACAAAATTGTATATCCGGGACCACAAAAACATGACAGGGTGCTGTGCTTTTCAAGACACCTTTTACCATCTATCAGGGGTAGGCACCCTTTGGCAATAAAAATGTTGTGGACTACAAGTCCCATAATGCTTTTACAGCTATAATGCTGGCAGAGCATCAATGCAGATGTAGTCCATAACATCTGGAGTGCTGAAGGTGGCCTATACATCAACATAGAATGCCTACAAGGGGCTTCATCCCAAGGGTAAATTGTATGACTCCTCAAATATATTTTCTCCCTGTTATCGATTAATAGTAATACCCTAAACCCTATCATGTTTTATGAATCACATTATGACACCAAATTTTTTAATTAATTCAAACCAGGAGTGCCGGTGTGGGGGTGACCTGGGCTAGACCCCTGAGTGAATCTCCAAAAAGTTTGGGATCTCCAAAGGGGCATTTAGAATTATTAACCTCAAGTCACAAGCAATATGGTAGGCCACGGACTCCGGGCTATGAACATGCTGTGCATAGCGGAACTTCAGTGATTGGTTTCACATACAACACTTACAACACAGCAGGGGTGTGGGCTGGCTCAGCAGTCTCCCAGATGACAGGTAAAATTGGCAGAATTCCTCTCAGTGCTTGGCTATCTGTGTGCTGTAGCAGCAACCCACGGGACAAAAAAGCCATCAGGACACAGAGCTCCCTTATGAAGAAATTGGCAGCCAGCAGCGGTGGGGACACAATGAGCGGAGCCACTAGGAGACCCCACTCCAGCAAGCCGCCACTGCACCATTCCGTGGATGCAAGTACAGTGGTCTTTATTGGCTGCAGTGCACACACACAGTGTGCTGCACATAGAAAGAAAATCTGAAGCACACACAGACACACGCACCTTATTCCCAGCACACTCAGATACACTGCATCCCCACCACACAGACAGACACTGCATCGCCAACACACACAGACACACACTGCATCCCAAGTACAGACAGATACACACTGCAGACCCCAACACACACAAACACACTACATCTCCAGCACACAGGCACACATTACATCCCCAGTACACACACAGACACACACTGTATTTTCAGAACAAAGATACACACTGCATTCCAAGCACACACATATACTCACTGCATCCCCAGCATACACACACAGACAGACACTAAATTCCCAGCACAGATACATATTACCTCATATAATCACAACTTCCCCTATACACACAGTGATGGAATCTGTACAAACCCTCACAGTGCAGAAGCACAGAGTTATCATCAATAAAGCTACAAATTCCAAATGGCAGAAACATAAATGCTAGCCATTCAAAAACAGAACACCAGACAAGCATTATTATTGAAAATTAGCCTAAACTATAGACATGTGCAATTTGTTTCGGTCCGAAGTGCTTCGAATTTCTGAAAAGTGGCAAAACAGGAGATGGAGTTATAATTTAGGGAATGATGACAGGAATCTAACCATAACCAACCTTACCCCAACCTTCCTCTAATCCTACCACTAACCCTACCTCTAACCCTACCCCTAATCCTACCCCTAACTCTACCCCTACTCCACAACCTCACACGTAAGGGTATGGGGTAGAGCTAGAGGTAGGGTTAGGGGTAGGGTCAGGGATAGGGATAGGGATTAGGGGTAGGGTTAGGATTAGTGGTAGGGTTATGGCGTAGGGTAGGGTAGGGAATTGCCGAGCTCCCAAATTCCCGAATTTCGGAAGTGCCGAATTGCCAAAGTCCCGAATTTCTGAAATGCCGAATTGCCGAAATCCTGAATTTTGGAAGTGCCGAACCGAACCATATTTCTTGCCCATGCACATCCCTATTAAACTATTACTCCGCTCATAAACAAGTGGCTATTTACACATGTTAAATTCAATGTGTTATTAACTACCCGACTGCAACACAACAGTCACAAAATAATGACTGAAAGGAGAATCAGGAGATAGAGCACACACATCATCCCCTAGGCATCCTTGGGGGTGATTGGGGTAGTAGCAGGTAGCCTCAGCTATCATGGCCCACTGCGCATTTGTCCAGTTTGTCCGATTGCCATTCTGGGCCTGCACACAGTTATCACATACACTAATGCACATCCTGCTGCACACTATTATCTAAACACATTGCTACACACTAGTACACGTTACTACCTATACACTACTACACATGCTGCTACCGACAATGTTACAGACACACACTAATGAAGACACTCTATGCAAACATACATTGACATACACATACACAGAAATGCACAGACATGCACACAAACTGAACACATTGATTACACACATATATAGATAAACACAGTCACTCCATGTGTGTTTGTATATACAGCAATGATTATCATTTCATCAGTCTATCATTCTACAGTGAGAAAGATTATTCAAAAGTGCAATATATTCAAGACCGTTGTCCCAAGAATGGATGTCCAAACACATTCAAGGTCAGACTGTTACATCTCATGTTAACATGCCTCAGTTAGCATATTAAATGTTGAAGTTCATGACAGTACAATTAGAAAAAGACTGAACAACGTTGGTTTGTTAGTTAGAGTTACCAGGATAAAGCCTCTGCTCTCTAAAAAGAACATGGCAGCATGACTTATCTTTGCAATTTGCATCTGAACAAACCACAAGACTTCTGGAAAAATGTCCTTTGACAGATGAGACCAAAGTGGAGATGTTTGGCCACATTTGGAAAAAATAAACACAGGATATAAGCACATACACCTCATGCCAACTAGCAGTCATTGAGTTGACCATGAACACCTCTGTATAACAGAGTATTTTATAATCAAATGTGAGGCCATCTGTCCGACAGCTAAAGCTTGGCTCTACTGGGACATGCAACAGGACAATGATCCCAAGCACACCAGAAAATCTACAACAGAATGGCTGAAAAAGAAAAGAATCAAGGTCTTGCAATGGTTTAGTCAATGTAGAGCCCTCAACCCGAATAAAATGCTGTGGCGGGACCTTAACCCCTTAAGGACACATGACATGTGTGACGTGTCATGATTCCCTTTTATTCCAGAAGTTTGGTCCGTAAGGGGTTAAGAGCACTGTGGATAAATAAAAGCCAGTAAACCTTAATGAACTGAAACAACGTTGTAAAGAAGAGTAGGTTACTTGAAACTATGGCTCCTAAAGGTAGTTCTACAAGCTATTGATTGTTTTTACTTAGTGTTCTCCCACATGGCTTCTACATTTAGGCTTTATTTTTGTAAAATAAATCATGACACAAAATAAATCATGTGATCCAGAGGAGGGATAGGCCTCCCAAATCTGATATATTACCAATATGCTGTGCACCTTAGTAGAATAATAGACTGAGTCAGCGGGACTAAATCCAAATTATGGATACAAATAGAACAGACCCACATACCAACGCCATTATGGGGACTGACATGGCTGCATACAATTACGTCATATGACTTCATGCCCAACCACCCGCTCATCTCCACAACCTCACACATTTGGAAAAAGCTATCACCACTTCATACTACTGCTCCAGGGATTTCCCTTAACTTCCTGATATCCCAAAACTAGTGAAAGGGGCTTCACACGAATAGCAACAAACCCCACAATGCAGTGATTAAACCTATCATAGTTGACTACGCAAAACCCCCCGTCATTCTCTCAAAGGTTCCAGTACCACAATTTAAACAACTTCATTAACACCCTTCCTATCCCAGAGACAGGTATCAGAACGGAAACTAACTA